ATTTTCAACAATATTTTTGACTATATTTTCCCAAATATTAAAATTTACATACGTATATGATTGTGTACATTATGTATTTAATAAATATTTTGTATATTTATTATATTCACATATGTATGTATGTATTTTGCACATATACCTGTGTATTTGTACATCTATATATAGATATACAGGAGGAAATAAATCATTTTAGACACAAAACCTCGTAAAGGATCATTTAATTTTCTTTTTTTTTTCGTAACTGTAATTGATAACGATCTATTAAATAAATTTAAGTATTAATATTTATGTAAAACATGGATGTATATAGATAAAGTTATGGACATACACATATACACACATAATATGTTTATATACATATATTCGTATGTAGAGTAAACAAGAAATTTAATCTCATGACCATAGAAAAAAATTTTTTTTTACTTTGCTTGCTTTTTGTTAAAATTTTTTTTTTGAGGTTAATTGAAAAGGATATACTGGTATCCGTTTATTGAAATATTAAGAGTACTTAAGTACCTCTATATATAGGTATTTTGCTATTGTTTGTATATATATTTCTGTAGTCTATCAACAGTACATCGGTTCTGTGTTTTTCATTTAGGAGAATGAATTCATATTTGGGATACATGAGTGGATATCCTGAAAGTTACATTGATTAAATGAAATTTATATTGTTATGTGAGAACTTAAATTGGGAAAACATAATAATTTGGAATTTTAAGATTCCAAGAGTGGAGCTTATTGAAATATATATTCTTTATAATTAAATAGAAAAATGAGAACCTTAACTTCAAATTATGAACTAAAAATTAATTTTAAACCAAAAGTAAATGTCTGATTAGATTGCCTATTGTTAGCTTGTACATTAACCAAAAATTCTACTCTTATGGCAGCCTTATAAGCAGCATTAATCAATAAAATCTAATCAAATTTCATGAGTCGTCATATTAACTGTGATCGGGGCTCATGCACATTTGATTACAGCTACGATTACAGGTTCTTTAAGAAATTTAATTTGATTAATTCCAATTTCATCTCATTAAATACGCAATTTTATACGCAATTTTAAATATCCTGTATCTTATACAACAAAAATCTTTTTTAAAAATATCAAGATAAAAGTATCCTTGTAATTACATACGCACATAAATATATACATACGTATTAATTTCTGTAATAGACATTTAATTAAAAATAATTTAATTACATTTTGACAAACATAAAAAAAAAAAACAAAATAAAATTTACATAAATTGAAATTTTTAAGGAGTATTTCAACTTATAACCGAAGTGGTGGTAATACACAACTCTGGTGGCAATAAGCGTACTCTCGCTTAAATTTTTAACAATAAAAATCCTTAATATTAAAATAAAAATGAAAATAAAAAAAATTTGTTTAATTAAGCATTTTTGTATTGTGTCAAGTTAAAATAAAATTTTTTTCAAATTTAAATCACCTAATACAGGGTGTACATTATAATAATAACTTGTAGTGTTATTGAAAACAATATTAATTTGTTCACACTACGCATGAGTAGCCAAAACTGATCACAACTACAGTACCTCGAACAAATGCATAGATGATTTGCGCAGTTACGTCACCTTTTTCCGGTAGACGGAAATAGTGTTTTTGATTTATGACAGTTGGATCGTGTGCAAGGGGAATTGTTTTGGCATTTATTAATAACATTTGAAATGCCGTTTTTTATCAAACTAAAGCATCATTGTTTACATTTCCAGTGATAATTTAGTTATCTTACATTTCAATTAATTTTCTCTTATAATTATGTCAATAAATAATAGTCAAAAGTGACACTAAAATATTTTATGCTAAAATTTTATGATTTAGTTAAATAAACTTATTAAATATGATGATTAATGATGGGGAGCAAATTAATTTTAAAGTCAATAATTGCCTATTTTATCCAACAGAGGTGCAATAAATTTTGTCTATTGTCATGTATTACTAAAGACCGAATTAAATGAGAATTTGATTACTGTTTGAACATATTTTATCCTCGTGAGCGAATTCATTACAACTACATCCTTCCCTCTTATTTCTAATCCATATTTTATTATAGTGTTTCAGGTATATTAGAGTCATTTATAATGTCAATTTTGTCTTTATACCCGAATACGAGTAGATTATGATAACAAATGTATACAAGAACTCATTTTTTTTTGTTATAAATTACAAGAAAACTGCACTAAATTTTCGCTTAATAAATTTCATAATTTTTCATAAATCATATTTTGACCATAATAAATGAATACCAAAATTTTTTTTTCAAGTGAATTTATGCGACACACACGCTTTATGAAATTTACTTGGAATAACATTACATTGCAATAATATACGATTATACGTTATATTTTTAAGGTATACGTACGTAAAGGAGAAATATTTATAATCTCTTATGACATAATACTTTAGTTTGAAAAATTATTAAAGTGTTGTGTGTGGTGAAAGAAAGAGTACAACATTCCAAATATTTAAAATTCTCCGCAGGGAAAAAAAAGAGAGTAAACAAAAAGAGCTGATTTAAATGTTAACACTTTAAATATTAAAGAGTATAATAACGAATAACAAGTATACTTATTTCAATATTAAAGAAAATTTTTGTCGGGACAATTGACTTGTTCGTAACTATTTCATTACAATGAGTAATGTCAAAAATATATTTGATTACTTTGTAGTACTCAACTTTTTATGCATAATACTAGAGAAGTATAACACTCTTAACTAATTCCTAAAATAAATCCTAACTCAAAAATAGTACTACACAAATAATTTGTTGAAAAGAACAGTTACACACAATTATTCCGTCAGATGGTTTCCTATATTATACTTATAGCAAATAATTAAAGGAAGTCAGCCTGTTATAAGCGTTTAAATGGAATGCAAAAATTGTAAATCAACTTAGAAAAAAAAATTAATATTATTGTGATTTTTAAATCATAAACTTTTATACAGAAAATATATCAAAATATCTGCTCAAATTTGAAACTTTTATACACAAATCACACATTAAGTTGAAATATCAAAACTGAAAATATTTTAAAAACAGTGTTGTAAAAAGGAAAATAAAATAAAATAAAAATTCTTATCATGATAATATTTTCTGTCTTCTCCATATTAATTTAATATTCTTATACCTTATTCAAAATAACTGTTATATTATGTATACAAACTGTTGAAGGATAATAAAATATTGTCAATTTTATCTGGTGAAATGTTTTGAATTATATCCTTTTCATTTTTCGTTTATTTTCCTTCTCATTTTATTTTCTTTTAACATTTTTTTATTCATTTTATTTTATTACGGCTTAATATCTCATTTACTTTAATATTTACCTAAGTATATGGAAAACACACATATAGCCAGATAAGTATATACTTATGTAGTACAAATTCGAGTGTAGTGGCACGTACATGAATGCATGTTATATTACATATAGTTTGTTTCCGTTTCATTTGAGTGGGTGCTCTTTTTATACCTTAAATTTATCGCTGAATGAACAAAAATTAGTCCTAATATTTTATATTTTTTTCTTTTTGCCTTTAAGTTGGTTTGAGTACACATTGTATGTATCTACATAACAGGAAAATAAACAATAAAACAGGATCGATAGACAAACATTATAACAAACATTGTATGTATACATGAAATGAAGTTCATATCCTTTCACATATCCTCTCTTTACAATGCCTTTTTATATAAAACTAATCAAGATTTATACAAAAATTAAAAAATACCATTAATTTAGATAATTTAATATGCACGATATATGATAGCAGAAATTGGTTTGTGAATGTGATCCTCAGTAGAAAGAGTGATTAATAAAATTTTTATCGAATTTAAAACGTAATTTTATTTAATCGGAAAAGAAGGAACGGCATCGATTAAAAAGTTACAAATCCTCCTCAACGGAAGGACCTATTTCACTAGAATACCTTAGCTTTCTGAATAAACGCCGGCAATCACGTGAGTCAGATACATTAATTTATGTTCCTGAGCATAACTGAATAAAACTAAATTCCAATTTTTCTTTTAACAACATGCGTTTCGCCATTACATCAAGTATTTTTAGTTCCGCCTCAAGATGGATTCTACAAGTTACATATTCGTTAGTACCCTACCTAGGTGTGACAGTGACGCATAATTTTGCTTTAATTATGAACGTTTCAATGTTGGACTTCCAAACTATATTTAACGGACCAGTGAGTTAACCACATTAAATTCTTAGCCAATTCTGAGCACAACCAAGCACAATACCGAAAATAATACGGTACATATTATCTTAGTAATTCAAGACATAGGTCAAATTTTCAGTATATCTTGGATCAACTTCTTTTAAAATGAACAATGAGATGATATTTCTATACTTTAGTAAAGTGATGTAGTTTGTATTGCTCGAAAATAAAAAAAAGGAAATTTTTTTATGATTAATTTAGTATGACAGTTTGATTTGAGTTTAAATTTTTGATACTTGATATGTTGTGTAATATTTGAATGATAATCAAACTAATTTCTACTATAATTAATAATATTTTAAAATTTTTGCACTACAGATTCCAAAATTTCGAAATTAATAAATTTGGGAAATCTAACAAAACAATTTCGATTTTAATTTGATGCTTTTTGACATATTATGCAAAGTTGTGTGGTCGTGTTGTAAAAACATTTCTAGTGTTAGTGAAAAACTTTTATCAATGACAGCAAAGTTCGGTATGTGCTAAATTAATTTTTGAAGAATATTAGCAATAAAATCTAATTTTGTTTTTTGTTAACCAACTTATCAATAATTTGTGATAAAAATTTTCATTTCTACATAACGAATACGTGAAAAGTGCATAAATTATTCAAATATTTTTATGAATGAAATTTTTGTTTGAAAAAAAGAAAACAAAAAGCGTACTTTCGTGATTTGGTGGAAAAATAAAACTACGCCTTTGGTGGTTTTGGAACACAAAATATCGCAATTTTTTTGTATCATACCTTTTGTAATTGCTAAAATATCATCAGAATTGTAGAAAAAAAGGTCTGAAAAAATGAAATAATTAAAAAAAACAAATATTTTTTCTCGTCAATTTCATTATTGAGTTTTTTTTAAAACTGATTGGAATTGATTAGTTTATTAAATATGAGTGCAAAAATATAATGTGTGGTGTGTACGAGGAATGAATTTCAATAATATTTGTCGCAATCTGCATGCTGAAATTGTAAAAATTATTTTATTTGATTAAAATATTTTAACTGGCGTGCACAAAATTTAGGGAAAAGGGTGGGTTTTATAGCTGGGTTCTTTCTTCTTTCAACTCTTTAATTTATTTCCACCTTTAAAAAAAAAATTCGTTCAAAAGTTATTTTGATACAATAACTTTGACATAATAACAATTGGCTATGTTTTAAAACGGTAATACTTATTTGCGCTCTCAAAGTTTGAAAAGTGCAAAAGTTTAACAACTGGACACATATACAAATCAAAAAAAGGCGGAAATTTTTTATTAATGCTTTCGAGAAAAATGCGTTAAGAGCAAAGAAATATGGTGTGCAGAGCAGAAACCGGTATATTTTATGCATTGTCAGAATATGGTCAATAGATTGTCTTAGCCATTTCCGCAAATATTTGAATTCTATTTGTATGACATTATAAATTGCTCATATACTAAAGCATATTGTATATTTAAAAATGTTATGAATCTCGATATGTTAAAATTATCGAGAAAATAAAATATCTTATTCGAAAAGTTTTCAAATTATTTGGTTCAATAATAATAATTTCCGAAATTATTCAAACGAAAAATTGTGAATGCACAAATCAAAAGTTCATGACCTTACTTTTATAATAAATCAAACCGTGCTGTCATAAAAATTACTCAATATCACAAAAACTCATTTTTATTTGTAGGATGGAATTTTAGAAATTTTCTGCCCCGTAAGAGATTTTTACTATACGTTGAAAAAAATATTCGATTCGTTTCGATTTGTGTAGGGTGAAATGTGAATTTATTGCCAAATTATTTTAAGGAATTTTGAATAAATTTTCTATAAATTTTAATAGAAAAATTTTCTTGAAATATGAAATATTATTTGAAAATAATTTTTGAACACTACGTATTAAGGTTCATAAAATTTTGAATTTTAATGAATAAAGAATATACGACAATCTTAATTTTATATAGTACGTCACGTATAAAAAATTGAAATCTAGATTAACGATAGACTCTAACTAATAATTTACTTGTGTAATCCCGAAATAATGGTAAATATTTTCGTTCTAAAATCCTATTATTATTATTTGTATACTCACTACGATAAAATTTTAATAAAAATTGAGAAACCAGCAAAAATTTCCCTTTTACATTAAAAATTTTCACAAGATCAATAAAAGTATAATAAACCTAAACAAAAATAATTGAAATAAAAAAAATAATAAAAATATTTTCCTAAAATTAATTTTAAATATTTTCATATCTTTGACAGGATATAAGTACAGAAAGGTCGTTTTCGTGAAGAATTTTCAATATTTTGAATTGGAAATTGATAGTGCGGTTTCTTTGGTACAAAGCACAGCTAACTTGGGAAATTTTGGGAAATTATGTGAAAAGCAGTGAAATAAAATTTGAAGATAAAACAGAAAAGTAGAGCATTATCGTTACGTAATATTTTAATTTAATAGTAGATAGAATTTATTAATACAGTTTCCACAAACAAATTTTGGACCTAATTTATACTTAAACTAGAATAGATTAAGTTATTTCGCTTGAAATTTCAGATCTGCATCGTAACTAACGAGTTCGCTTCCCCAATGCTTTCTGTTAACTAACAACGAGGCAAAATTTTTCTCGAAGCAATACCTTCTAACCATACTATATGTAGGCAATGCAGTGAGTGGGATCTCCGTGGTAAGAGAATCCGTTCTTTAACCTTAAAATAATCATTTTCTCTGCAATATGCAGAAGTATAACAACAATATGCAGGGGCATTAGTCCCAAAATCACCTTAATTACCGCCGTTGAACACATTTTTATAATCACCGTAATCATGCAGATGCATGCAAATCCCTAATTCACCTCTTTTGCAGCAATTAACCTGCATAACCGCCATAAGTAATGCAGATACATCCATATCTCTAAATCACCTCAATTGCTAGACACATCTTTATAATATCGCCGCAATGCAAGTCTCTGCAAATGTTCCAGAACGCTTTTCGCCGTATATAATCCATTATTGTTCGTACGGCATTTTCTGTGATATCATTCGGCAGGGGTTAAGGAAACAAATGCTGAAGAAAATTAAAACTGCAATGCTTTTTCCCATTAAATTTAATATTAAAGTTATGGGTATTGAAATTTCCATTGTTTTCAATTTAACATTTAATTTAAAACAGTTTCTATTTTATTTCTTATTTCTTTAAACCTGAAACAGTGATTTAAAGGGAATTTTTCAAAGAAAAAAAAGTTTCAAAATGTCTCCTACGTTTAAAATAAAAAAAAAATATCTTGTATACCGAAAATAAAAATTTATAAAATTAGGGAAAAGAAATTCCATCTGAATTTTAGACAAAAATTTCTTTCTAATTTTCAAGGTTCATTTTTTAATATTTTCCTTTCCTTCTTCTTCCAATTATTCTTCAACTTCTTTAAAAGAAAAATCTTTATATGTATGCTTCCTTTATTTTAGAAAAAAAAAAATCCGCTTTTGACCTAATTTCCTTTTTTGTTTCTCCTTATACCTTGTTTGTTTTTATTTCTGCTCTAAATAAAAGTTAAACCAAAAGAGAGACGCCTATAAAAAGTAAAAATTTAAGTCAAAATTTTTTTAACAATAAATTACAAAAACAACAACAACAAAAAGGATTCTAATTAGAAAATATTTTTTTTCCTTTAATCAAATCTGAGGTGAGACACCAAAACAAAAACAAGAAAACCAAATACAGTAAATACAAGTAAAAGTAAGAGAAATATAAAAAAATTGAAAATTTTTTAAAAATCTTACCTGAAACACCATTCTCTTTTTCAACATCCGATTCATGTCCTGCAGGACTGCTAACATCCTCTTTAATAGCTTCGGTTATAAAAAGTTTTCCCATATTGCTTGTTAAATCTACATTCAAATTCTTATATACCACAATTTTGTTGAATAAAAAAATTCGGAAAATTTCACATGTATGAGTGTGTATGTTTTCAAATCAAATGATGGTAAGGAATCAGAATGAAAATAAAATTTAAAAAGTAAACCAAAGAAATTGAGTTGAAAACAAACAAAATCCCAAGGATTATTTACAAAAATTATTTAAAATTTCTCTTGCAACACCTTTAAATTCTTTGTTAATCCTCTGTTATCTTAGCTATTATTCTAAAATTTTTAAACCTTAAAATTGCATTTATTTTTAGAAACTGATGAACTGTCGTTCTATTAACCTGTAAGCTTCCGTGTAATCTTCCGTTTGAGCCCAAAAATTAACAATATAGTTTTGCTTTACAGTTTCTTTTATTATTTTTTCTCACTTGTTTTTCAAGATTATCTTAGTTTCTCTCAAGACTATTTATGAGTCTTTTATTATGTTTGTATATTATTTTGTAGATATTTTTATTTGTGTGTTGTGGAAAAATATACAAACATTTTATTTTAATCTTTTATGAGTTAGGAAGTGTGGTGTTTGTTTATATTTAGAAATGAAATGAAAATTGTCAACAAAAATATATAAAAAAATAAGGACTAATAACCAGCGACTTCTATTTAATATCGTGATTATTTTAGGATATGACCAAGAATTTGAGGATCTTATTTTATCATTTCTTTAATTTTTTATTTTCTCAAATATTCTTCTGTACTTGTTTGTTTTCTTTTTTTGTTCGGCGAGATGAAATTTATAAAAATGTTTTGAGTTTTTCTTGCTCAGTAGAATTTAGACTTCTCCGTGATTGGTTGTTCGTTATAGTTAATAATCTGAAAAGAAAAAATAAAAATTGTTATGAAATTTATAACAATAACAAAATTGGGTAAAAATATGGGAAGATGAAATCACAAATTTCAGGAATTTTGGAGTTTTTCTTATGATTTTTCGCTAAAACCTATTAAACCAATTATGCATTAAAATAAAATGCCTTCATTGGACATTGGCAGTTCACCAGAACACGATTTAGACATCATAGACCCATAGAAGATATGCAACCTATATGGTACAATACGCGTTCTACGAATAATTTCTGCCAATCTGTAAACAAAAGAGATGGATTTTCACTGATTCTAATTTAGAGAAATTTAGAGAAATTTATTTAATTAAGTAAGAGAAATTTTTAGATGTTTCCTTATTAAATTTTATACAATAAGTAAGTATAGTATAAGCGCGACTGTATATCTTGCAGTTGGTTACAGATTAGTCTTGTGTTATTTCAATTAACTAATTTTGCTAACGGAATAAAATCTATTTCCTACGATTTAAAATAAAAATCAATTGTAATTTTACCCAAATAAATCATAGTTAATTCCAATATCTAAAAAAAATTGTTATGCTTTTTATGCTTCCATAACGAATTTCACTTTTAAGTAAAGAGTTTTAAATAAAACTGCTCGTATTCTAATTAAAACAAATCTAAAACATTCGCATATGCACACTTTGCACGAATTTCATTGTGAATAGAAATTTTCCCACAACGTTTTTAGGATTGCCATTGGTCATTTTCATTAATTTCAAGTGTTTTATTACTCAAAATCTATTATTTTAAAGTCCAATTATTTTTTGAATCTTCCGGCTTTAAAATTATTTGGGCAAGAAATATTTTCATGGCCGTGGTTATTTCATTTTTTCAATTAAAATATTTTTCCGATTGGCATGCAAAATATATTTATTTAGGAAAATTGCAATAATTTAGTTTTTTTGTTCTTTTTCTGCAACTGCTCAATTGGACATGAAAAATTATTTGAGAAATTGTGAGAAAAAATATATAATGAATATCTAGTTTTGTTATTTATTAACTAAATTTTGCAATGATTGGACCTACAACGTGAATTTCATCGGTAACGAATCCATAAGTTTCAATATATTCTTCACTTTCTTCGACATACTCGTTCTTTCCTTCGACATACTCGTTACAGTCTTGTCCTATTTATTATGGCATTCAATTTTATAACATATATTGTGTTGAGAACTCTGCCATTATTGTTCAATTGATGAATTGCTAATGGCAGTTCAAAGTATGAATTGCTAATGCCAAACTTCTCACCGCATATGTTTGCAATGGAAGAATAGCTCAAAGCCTTTAAAACGGATGCTGGGTTCTTGTCTATAATATGTGTCTTATTTGTAAAGGATTTTCAAATGTGAACCTAACGTAGTTATGATGAATGTTTGCGCTGTACTGATAATAAATGTCAAAAGATAAAGCACAGTAACTATAGTGCAGCTTGAGTTGACAGTGAACCATTTAGTAAACTCTATTCAAGCATAAAAGTGAAACATACTACCGCTAGACTCTTTAACGATCTTTAACCATCATGTTAATGTACAAACCATTTACAGAAAACATTTTCATCCTTGACTTTCGGAACAAAATATACCAAAATCCTTCAAAAACAAAAACAAAAAAATTCACTAAAATTAAATTGTATCGGTTTTCAAAATTCCAAAATAAATAAAAATATTTCTATTTTTATTTTGAAAAAATTTAATTTCCGTTTAAAGATTAAGTCATCGTCGTTCTCATAACATCTTCACTTTAAATTTAAATTATTCAAGAGCAAAAAAAAAAAATAAACACAACAAAAAATATCAAATTAAATCACAAAATTTACATAAGAAAAAAAAAAAATTCTCAAGTTTCAAGTACAAAAAAAAAAAACACTCACTTTTGAAAAAATTCATTTATTCTTAAGAAATGCCATGAGAAGAGCAAAAAATTAAAATTTTTTTTTTTCAAGTCTAAATCAATTTAAAGCCACTCAAATTGGTAGCTATAATCATAACAAACAATTTATCTAAATAATGGGCGACTATTATAAGGCGGGTTGTTATCGTAACGATGATTTCGTCTCCTTAAAATTATTATGTTAATCACTTTCTTTATACTTTAATGTAATTGGTTTTTTGGGGTGGTGTTATTACTCTTGATTTTGCTTCTATACCAAATCAAAAGTATTATAATATCGTATATTAAAATTAGTGTTCCCTCCCGTTAGATATAAATCGGGTTACGAATGACGAGTGCCTATTTTCTCAACAAATATTTGAAATATAATAAGGTAACAAATAGTTGATATTCAAGCCACGTGTTGGACATATGGAATGCAGCTACAAGATTGTTCCAAGCAAAAACTTATCAAGCAAAAACTTATCAAGCAAATACAAACTTTCGTGAAGAAAGTTTTTCGTAATATTGTGGATGTGATTTAGGTATCTACGAAGTCAGTAATGAAATAAGGAACTCTATCATGGAACATAGAGCACGTTTAAAGAAGAATGTAAATATTGAGGTCTCTCGACTTATAAAGGAAAAGGTTTGGACAAAAAGACAACACTTCTGTGTCTGGCTTCACGAAATAAAGACGCGAAAACACAATACAACAAAACTAACGAATAGTCAGTCTGACAAGTTTTAGGAGGTTATGATAACCAATTTGCGTTTTAGATTGGGTTAAAGTCTGATTGATCTATTGATAGATCTGATTACAATTTGAGTCTGTATATTTTGTCTAAGAGGCTGCCTAAATGTTATATTCTCATACATAGTGTTTATTTCATTAGCAATCATTATTGAAATGTTTGTTACCAAAGAAACTCTCCCACGACGCACGGCAACTTTTATTCTCTTACACGAGCAGTTCTCTTTTATTTTATTTTCAATTCATTTTTTTCTTTTTTGTTCAATTCTATCTAAAATAAGACGTCTGTAACCTCAACGCCCAATACACATTTTTTTTAAATATTTCAAATTTTTAAATTTTCTTTTTCACAAAATTGTTGTATAAATCTCACATAATAGATAAAGATTAAAGATTTCAAAAATTATTTTAAAATTATTTTCAAAAAGAAAAGTGAGAGTTCTAAAGTGGGTAAACATTCAAAAAAAAAAAATATTATTTGTTAAAATAGCGAATGGCTTGAAAGTTTCACAAAAATATAAATTTTAAATGTCTAAAGTAGACGGTAAGAGGTGGTTAATTTTTGCATTTCAATTTTTTAATATTTACGCAAATAGTCTGTAAAAATGTATTTATCTTTTGATTTTATTCTTTTCATATTAACAAGAGAGTATTAGCAGTTGAAATAAATTGAATAATAGCACTCTACATATACAATATGCAAATATTTAAGTAGCTATGTTTGCGGTTTTGTGTATACGATAACATATGTATTTTGGAATAGGGTGTAAGAAAATTTAAGATAATTGCTATATTGCTATTATAATTTAAGTACACTCAGTAATTCATTGATCCAACAAAAGCATAAGGTACATAACCAAATTATAATATTATAAAAAATTAATATTTAAATTGGAATGTCTGAAGACGTTAAAAAATTGCTTACTTAAACGCATAACTTAAGTTTTACAGGCTGCTCAGAGTCGCCTCAACGTTGATAAAGAATTCTTGAGATAAAGAATTTTATAAATGGCAGAATAATGAACTTGTGCATCGATAACAAGTTGATCAACTAATTAAAAGAAGTTCGTATAAAAACGCATAATGTGTCAAACTATTACTGTAAAAACATTTACACGGGATAATACGGTGTGCTCAAAATGAAGTGTTCTTCAAATGTGTGAATATGCGACAAAATTCAACCCATAAGTTCGACTGAACTCTGGCAGATATTCAAGAACAATTTGAATTTTCTAAGATTTTGCCAATAAGAAACCAAACATGGCATAATTAGGCCCGATAATGTCAAAATGAAGAATTTTATACAGAATTATTGCAACGAGGAACTGTCAATTAATAAATTAATTTATGAATGGAGTCTTAAATGAAAGTGTTGTTATAGTGTCATTTGTGTGATTTTTAAATTAATTTGTAATCAATTATCATTATTTTTATCATTATTTTTAAATGAATTATGGTTATTTTTTTCACAAGTAAGAATAAAATCCTCTTCATAACTCAAAACATTTAAATTAGATTTCTCAAAAGTAAGAACGGCTTGAGAGAATAAAAGTTTTTTTCGAAGAATGGTGTAAACGCACAGTACATATCGTTATGTCTTCTTTTTATACATGCTTCTCAGAATTACAATGGCTGAGATTTCTAATGAAAAAATATTGCCTTTTCATATAATTTACTTTAATGGAAAGTATAATATCTCTGTACATGCTGAAGAAATTTTGTTTTAATGTTTAGAACGAGTACGAATGGTTTTCATGTGAACAAAAGTACCACAGAGGTTAAATTGGTTCACCAACAAAGAATTTTCACACATATGGAGTGCGATGGTTATTACAATAAGAGATGTATTTAATGTAATTTTATGGTAAAAAGGACATTCAATTGAGTTGGTTAAGTGGTTAAGGACATTTTTTATTTTAGATACCTACTGTGAAATTATAAAAATTTTTATATTCATAGAAAAAATTCATATAGAAATTTTATAATTCGTATATTATTGGGGACAAAATTTCTTATTCACCAGATTTAATAATATTTTTGCGCTTAGGTGAGTGTTCTACGAAACAAATAAAATCCGTGCGTGAATATTCGTGTTTATATATGCTCAATGACTTATTCAAATTCCCGGCCAAAGATCTTGAATATTTCCAGGTCAAAAATTTTTTGAAGCAACAATTTCTGGTAAACAAAACAGGGGTAATTTTCAACTCACATTCACCAATTCTAATTTATAAGTTTGTTTATATAATTTGATTAAAAAATAATAAATTTTCTTCTCTAGAACCCTTGAAGCTATTTTCTTATTTAAATAAAATTTTTGACCTAAATCAAAAATATTGATGCCTCAA